CCCCGCCAGTACTGGGTATTGAACCCAGGGACTTCGCACTGAACAATATTTCCCGCACTACCTTTTTTTCTATTTTATTTTTCCAAGACTGGGTCTCACTAAGTTGCTAAATTGCCCAGGCAGGACCTAAACTTGCAATCCTGCTCCCCAAACCCTGGGATTGCAGGTATATGCCACCACACCCTACAGTCCATATATATATATTTCAGCATCAAATTCCCAGTTCACAAAAAGCTCCAATGGGACTTTGGTTGGAATCCATAGTGAATATACAGATTAGTTTGGAAAGTCATGACCCGTTCCTTCCTTCCCCTTCCCCTTCATCTTTGCAGTACCAGGTAGTAAATTCAGCACCTTCATATTAAGTTACACTCCCAGAACTTTTTTTTAATTGAGTTTATTGGTACATTTTAGGGATACAGTACAGTTACATTCATTATTGGGATCTTGTACTTTTACATGACAGGTTTTGGTTCTCATTTTTTCCCCTTGCCCCTGCCCTCCCTTTACCCCCTACTCTCTCTGTCTTTTTTTTTTTTTTTTTAAGCAGAATCTTGCTAAATTGCACAGGCTGGCCTTGAACTTTCATTCTTCCTGCTCAGCTCCCAAGTAGCTGGAAATACAGACATGCACCACTGCTCCTAGTAAAACCTGTAACATCTTTATGCTACTAAGTCACCTCACTAGGAAAGGCCCTGAGCAGCTGAGTTGCTGGCTGCCCCCAAGGTGACATAAAAAGCATGGCAGAAGGAGGAAGCCAGAACTGCTGGCTGGGGCCTCTTGACCCAGTGCAGCACCAGAAGCCCCTCTGTTCCTCCTTGGTGACATTGAGTTTGCATCATGGGAAGAAATTGTCTTTGCAAAGTGATTAGAAGAGGAAGAAAATATAACACAAGATGAACAGCTCAAATGTAGCAGAAGACTTGGGATTCTTTTTCTTTTTCTTTTTCTTTTCTTTTCTTTTTTTCTTGCAGATTTATAAAACAGGGGTTGGCATCCTCAAAACTGGACCCAGGAAGAATAGGGAAGATAAGTTTCATATTTCTAACAGCTTGGAATTTGTCAAAGGGTGTATAAGCTCCTCTCGGTGTCTGTCAGCCCACATAGTCATCAAGGGCTATGCTGAGCAAAAAGAGACTCAAGCTTTTGTGCCGAAAAACAAAGAGAATGTAGGCAGGACGCCAGGGACAAGTGGGAGGATGGGCAGTGTGGAGACAGCAGATACCCTAACCTGACTGGCTGGCGTCAGCATGAGGGCATGCTTCAAGGACGCACAGAACGGATGGCCCAGGAGCACTGTCCTGAGACCTTCCCGAGTCTTCAGCAGTCCTCACCTGATGACACCACAGAGAGTGCCCGATAGGTCAGGACTAGCATAAGCCAAAGAAGGACTCTGAGGTGCTGGTAGCAGGGGTTTTCACACCAGGGGACCTGGGCTAGCTGCATCATTAATATGCTATGTACCTTGTCTTACATGTGGCCCCCTCAGCTAGGAACAAAAAAATTGACTTTAACTGCTTGTTTAATTTAATTTAATTTTTTTTAATTCTGAGAGCATTCCATTAAATTACCAAATTGCCCAGACTGGGCTTGAACTTGTGATCCTCCTCCCTCAGTTTCACAGTGTCCTCAGATCCTAGGCATGTGCTACCATGCCTGGTTTAAATTTATGAAAAACAAAAATTAGATAGGTTTTGGGCCGGGGATTTAACTCAGTGGTTCTGCTGCCTGCCTTGCAAGCGCAAAGACCTGAGTTCGATCCCCAGTACCAAAAAGAAAAAAAAATTAGAGAGGTTTCTATTTCAAGGCAGCAGAGTACAATGAGAAGCTCATTCTGCCTTTCGTCTTCTTTTTTTTTTTGGTACCAGGGATCAAACTCTGGTCCTTGCACTTGTGGGGCAGGTGGCAGAACCACTGTGCTAAATCCCCAGCCCCCCATCTTGTCCTTCTTAAGCACATTCAAATCAGAGAAGAAAAATACTTGAATAATGAAATCTTGGCCACACAGAAATAAAAAGGGAGCTCCATGTGAAATAAGCCTCTCTCCAAACAGGAAACAGGAGGAAGCCACAGCTGGGGTGGGGGCCGAAGCCTGGGTCTTGGCCTGGAAGCAGGAGGCAGCCTGGGCTAAGCATATGTGGCTGGGGCCAGGCTCTGGGTCTGGGTGGATG